TTCTTGCTACCAGTACTCTACAAAATGAATTTTGTAACGCCAAATTTACTACAATTTAGCTACAAAATACTAAATTGATTAGATTTAAGGGTTGAGTATGTGGTGAGGCGTGATATACATGACAGTGTGTAGCTGACTGTTCCTCATTTATTTATTTAATCACACTTTGTATGTTATACTTACGTAGCACTGTAGAATTTTTTCTGTACGTTTATATCTATATTTGAGACAACTACTCAGCAACAACTCACAAAAAGAAATGTGCTGGAAAAATGTACAACATAATAAAATAATGTCGCAATCAGCTGCTTCACTGAGTTGAAAATTTTTTTTTTATTGATGCTTTTTCATTGATTTCAAAAATACTATGCTTATTGTTTTTTAAAAATTATACTTTTGTCTCGAGTACCTCATTTTTCTCTTTCTCCAAGAATACAGATCTTATATACGAGCACCTAGGACAAAGTTCTTTATACAAAACTTGGTCACCTTTCTTACTAAGTATAATTTGCACTATACAGCAGTTGTCACAAGTACACATCGGCCAGTTTCAGTTGAATAGAAGGATCTTTTATTTTCACTATCCATCTCACTTTGACAGCTTTTCAAAACTATCAGCGACGTTACCGACAAGCTGGCCGGGTATTCGCTTTTCTCAGAAAAAAGGCCTTGAAGGTAGATATTATTCAGAAAATTGCACTAATAAGCTTTAAAAATTTGATTGGTAGTTTTTTCAACGATAGTAATACTGTCAAAAAAACTCGCAAAAAAAATCTCGTTATTTTCGACGGAATTCGGAGACAAAAGTCTGATTATTTACAGCTGAAAGGTGAGTACGCTAATAACAAATCTATCAAAAGAGAGCGGCATCGGCTTAGTAGTAAACGTGCTTATAACTAATACAACGTCGTTCTAGGGGTCTTGGGTTTGATTCCCAGTGAGTGCAGATTTTTTCAAAAACTGTTATCACCGAAAAAAGTTCCTCTGCAACACCGACCTTCTCGCGGCAGGTTTTTCGGCGGAATTTCATTTCAGAGTAATTCCAGGGTTTTGGTTTCAGGTTTTTGCCTAAGCTTACAGGTCTTCGAGCCTGGATAAATGCGAAACAGTGTTAGGGCTATAGGTAGGGCTCAGCGGATCGGATGCGCCAGGAAGGGATGCAGCATTGGTGCAGAGAGTGTCAGCTTAACTGGCACGGTGTTTCACCAGAGACATTCCCACTGTACCCATGGTATGACATATGTACGATATCAATTAAGGGATTGGTTAATGGGTGTGGCAATACAACTCCACTCAGAGATGATGGGTGGGTGATTCTGGTGACTAGGCCAATAGTCTGTCATGGTAACTCGGTAAAAAAAAACTAATCTATCGAAATAATTATTTCACTTTAAAAAAAGCATACGAGCTAGGTTGATGTATGACAGATACAAGTAATGAAATATAAATGCAATAACTTGATAAATTTATAATAGAACCCACTAGGGTTGAACAAGTTAGATCCTAAAGAATCTTGAGTCTTAACATTGTAATTTTATTATACACAATTTTCACTCGATGAGTACTGATGCAAAGCTAACGTTATAGAATTCGTCAAATAAAGTGTGGGAATATTGATTAATAAGCCGAACAAGAAATAATTGTAACAGAAAACTTGTACTTTTTGTAATATGAATAACTTGTTATTTTTTACCGTATGTAATAACTAACTTTTTGAATACTACTGTATCATACTTGACCTTAAGATATTAACATGAAGCTCATATTGAGAAAATCCACAAACTACATCAGAATGTAAACTATTGAGAAAATAAAGTTAGAAGTTTTTTGATTTTTTACTACGTAGTTTTGCACGTATAAAATGAGAAAGTCGAAGCTTTGACGTAGGCTTTTATGATTATTGTAAAACAGTTTATATCTTATGATCAAGACAAAAATTTTTTAATTTTTTTGGGTTGAATAGTTAGTATTTTAATACGGAACAAACATTTGAAAAAAGAACATTATTTATCACGTAGTTGTTAGCCAAACAACAATATACTGCTTTGAAATTTACTACCGTTGGTAATGTGTATCCAAAGTTCTTCTGCAAGAGCAGCGAATGCACTTACGATTTAAACTGTTAACAATTTTAAGTTTGTGTGTATTTTGAGATGCATTGATATACAAGCAAATCTACAAAAAATATCTAGTTTTTGTCACTTATTTTAATAAAAAAAATTTTTTTGAGGCACATCCATGAAACAGGGCTTATTTTATTCATAATGTCATGTACTATGAGAAAGAATTTTGAACGGTTAAATTGGTATACCATGTACAGATAATAATTTTGAAAAAATATCAACTATGTTCAAAACCTTACAACATTCACACTCACCTTCTTATCAACAACAAGCTAAATGACGTCGTCTGTTTCAGAAAAGATAAAACGGATAAGCTTGAAGAGACAAATCTTGTGTATAATATATTTTATTGTAAAAACTGATCGGCATCACATGTGGGTGGGACAAAGAGAGCAACAGAGGTCGACATTAACGAACACTAAAACCTAATTACAAAAAAGTAACTATTTTTTAAATGCTTTGTATAAAAGTGGACAAGAACAACATCACTAAGAATAAAGATGTGCTTTTCTTTAATCGAGCATATCTTCCTTTACTACGAAAGTTTAAATGTCCCGATCGAGTACAACGCCCTCGACCGTCTACCTTTGTCACTTCGCCTATATAAGCGATAGTGTATCGTGTAATTTATCGTTTAAACAGCAACTAGCGAGTCAATATACTTACGAAGTTTTGCGCAAGGTAATAATTTGTACCTTAAAATTTTATTCTTGTGTGTATGAGTTTACGTATATCTCTTATTGTATTTAATAAAACTTGTAGCATAATGAGGCAGACACAAATGGTCAGCGAAACATTGCGACAATAAACCAGCATAAGAAAATTTAAATAAACCTGGTATTTATTCATTTCTTGTATCTCTCCCCCAACGGATCACCGATCACTTTCAACTCAAGTCGTCGGAGGGCACTGACCAAATTCAAAGCAGTTACTTATTTGGCACCTTGAGCAGTCTTTGATCATCTAAGAACTCGATAAACATTTTACTTGTGTAAAAAACTCTAATTGTAGATAAGAACTGTTTAGCACCTTTGAAAAATTCAATAATAGTATCTATAATTTTTTTAGTCCATACTACGTTTGCTTTGCCATTAATTTCTCCTTTTAGGTACATAATACAATTTTCTTTGCTTTCATACTTATATATATAT